TGAGATTTTACCATATGCACAGCATCCTTTGGAGTTTGCCTTGAACTCCTCTTTTATTCTTCAGATTTGATGGTCGTGATAAGTTCCTCCAATTTTGGTGCCTTTCTTTTAGCAGAGATGGAAGATATGAAAGTCTCCCATGAATTAGGAAGAGAAATCATTAAATGAATCACTTGCATAAACTCATTAGGCTTTATGCTTGTATCTTCCAGATCTTTGACTAGCGTACGAAGCACGTGCACATGATCTGCAAACTTGACACCTTCTACCATTTTTAAATCATTGTACCTTCTCATAGCCATAATTTGCATCATAAAAGAGGGTATACTCTCTTTAAAGTTTATCAAAAATCTCACTTGCAGTATAAATTGACTCGTATTCAGAAGCATACGAGTCAATCATGGCACATAAAAGAATGTGCTTGTATTTCAAGTTTCTCCTCTTCCAATTGGCGTACTCATATTTGATTATTTGAGATGAGTTGTTAGTTGGATGACGAGGTCGGTCCTCAAAGAGTACCTCATGCAAGTTTTCTTCATAAAGCATAAATTTGATTTTTCTTTTCCATTAAGCAAAGTTGGTCCTATCAAACCTTTCGGTTTTCAGGGTCTCAAAGATGAAGGTACGAGCAACCACTATATTTTTATTCTCAAGCAAAAGTAAGAAAATACTCCTAATGGCAATCAAGTAAAACTACCTCTGATATCAATGAAAGAAAGACCTATGTGATCTTTTGCTGGAGAAATACAATATTTTTTTTTTTAATAATAATCACCCCTTATAATTTTGGCAATAAGATCACTCACATATGGTCTTATTATAAACAATAGAAATTCCAAAAATAAATAACACATCAATAAAATAAATCTCAACTACTTGATGTCAGTCATACAACCTAATACTGTGCTTAAGAATATAAAATAAAAAGATAAATAAATAAAAGAAAAGATGTCGGAGATTACCTCAACCGGGTTTTTTACACCCCACACTGAGTTACCACATTCAATAGCGCGGGATCAACGATCTAGCTTCAATCTTGAACCGAAAAAGCTAATTTCAGCCAAACTAAGTAACCACCCTTAAATCTCTACAAAACCCTAACTCCAAAATAATTAGGCTCAAATTCTAATTTTCCCAACCCTTAGATTAAATCATGAATAGAGAGAGAAAATCAGAGAGTAGAGAGAGGGGCATGGCTCCTAGGGAAGAGAGAGAGAGTTTATGGGAGAGAGAGAGGTATGTAGAGATGGGGGGAGAACACCCCTTTTTATAGTAAAATTTAGGTCTAGGGTTTCTTATAGTTTGCCTCTTTCTTGAGATTGAATATGGACCGTTGATCAAGGTGACTTGTGAAGTAAGAGATCTGAGCCATCCATTTCATAGATGGGCCATCAACATTATAGAAGGTGTATGAACCATTATCTCTTTTTCCTTAAACCATTTTTCCCATCAATATATTTAAATAAGTTAAATCTATTAAAATACCATGCATTCCATAAAATTGTATAATCCATCTCTTATTTTCCATAAGAATATTTCAATAATATCAAGTCAAGATATTCCTTCAATAATCAAGATATGATATGGTCAATATTTCTCAAACAATATTTGATCATATGCTTATAAGATGGACTTTCCAAAAATTACAAAACTTGATATCAAAGTAATAACAAAGGAAGTAATGAGTGTGGAAAGTGGATCCATATGGTCCAGGAATTCAATCAACTATCAGGGGCTTATTAGCGGGTCACCAAAGTCTGATCGATGAGCCAAGGAGTCGCAATCCTAGCCTGTGGATTACAGGTCCTCCCCTAGAGACAAGTCAAGATCACTACGACCTGATGCGACCACAACTCTATAACACATAGGGGTATCTCTCGCACATGCATACGCTTCACTCAAAGGTGGATATATGCCTTTCTTGAACGATTTATCTATATGCATGCCGTGTGATAAAACATGGATAAGGTTTTGGCCCCCGTCTCTGTAGGCCTACTATCATACACAAGGGTAATACAGTCTTTCGGCTCATTCATCTAAGCATAAGCTCCGACCTCATCAAGAGCTAACCCAAAAACCCTTCTTGGTTTATTTTTTATGCCGAGGTACCTTGGGTTTTCCAACCGACTGGCCTAGATCGTCAAGCACAGTCTGGTATCTGCAAACATCATTTGCTTAGTATGATCCTCGAGGGACCATGCTCCCACTGAGTTTATATTCCACTATAATAAATGTTTTTCATTACACACTCATAAGGCCTTTAAAGGCCACATAAACCCAACAAATATTAGTAGGAAAAAGTTTATACAGGGTTGAAACTTTATACAGTTGAAGTAACATGCATCTCAAAAATCCTTTAAGAAGCGGGTGTCGCGATTTGGAATACTTTCCAATTGATCATCTCAACCTTGAAATGTCTGGATATGAAGAGAAATAAAAGTACTTCAAGCTTTAAATATAGTGCATCTTGTAACTAGTCATCTAAACCGTTATTTATAACATTTTCAAGAATTGATTTACTCGATCTGTATTATTTTTCAAATATTAAGTTTTATAATTTTCGACAAAAGTAAATTTTCAAACCATTATAAGGTTTCTGTCATTGGAACTACATCCCAAGCACAATTTATTAATATACCTTATTTCTGTAGTATAATGAGGGTGCCTTACACAAAACTCACCCATATTAGTACCTTGTCGATTTGTCAGGGTTGCCAAAAAATCGGGTGAGTCTCTGAAGTCTGAAGTCCAATTTTTTTTCCGATAAAACACTTGTTGAATCATACCTCAGGATTTTCTGACCAACTGTGGAATCTGAACCCATGTATGCATTTTCAAACACCGGTTAAGAGTAGTATACCATTAAACCAATATTTATAAATCTTGTTTACAAATTAGAATTCTAGGAATTTGGGACTAGTATATCTCCTTTCTAGGTTTGTATGAGCTATTTTTTCTTTTCATTAAAAATTAATGAAAACCATAGGGCCAGGCAGGTTGGGTTGGCCTACCCAATTCATTGCTAGCCTTAAACATGGTTAACAACTGTTCAAAGGGTTGACTCATTCGAGTACATCTAAACTTATCACCATCATCATCATAGTCTTTTTCCAACCATTTGGGGTTGGGTATACGAATCTTTGGCCGTCATTTTGTTCATTTAAATACCATACCCTTAGTGAGGCCATAAGTCTCCATAGCTGAATCTATACGTATCTCAACTCTTGAGAGCATTCATTGTTTGCTACACCCTTCGGTTATGATGTTGCAAATGGTTGGGCAATGAGTGCTTTGATTTGTAGCATCAGTTGGAGAAGTTGCAGATGTTTAGAGAATGAAAGCTTTGATATGTAGCATATGTAGGGGATTGAGGTCTCCCCTTGGCACACAGGAATTTCATAAGCCAGTCTCAACCTGATGGTTCCTATGAAAGGAGTTCGATATGAAAGGAGTTTGATCTTGGTCCATGATGGGTTCTAGCCCTTTAGGCTAGTTGGGGTGGCTTAGCCAATTACATCATCAAGTTTATGTGGGACCACTAAACAAGCCAAGCTACCCCGCACACCACCTCACCAAGCTTGGGTTCAAGCCACACTCTAAGGCCCCTGGGTGCGCCAAGGTTGTGCATTCTAGGTTCAGACAACTTTTGGGCTAGGGTCATGCCAGGCCTAGCTTGGCTCGAGCTCAAGTGTATAATTGTTATCGACTATGATGTTTATAGTTCAAGTAATACTACTACAACCTTTTTGTAGTATGGAGTCCATATAATACAAGTCTGTAGTCCATTGTCTATGGCCTATAGACTATAATCTTTAGCTATAAAGATTATAAAAAGTATATAATGAAACCATTTACCTTTGATATAAGGTGATCACAATTAATCTCCACTGTTGGATGTGAAATTGGATGGGTGCATTTATTCTATTGACCATGCCTAACGTTGAAAATAAATTTTTTCGAACTTTATGACACATGTAAACTATCAGATTTCACATGAAATGGTTATAAACAATTGTGACCTCCTTATATCAAAGGTAAATAGTCTCATTGTATACAATCCCTTAAGAATACATACCGTCAACAACCTTTCTAGAGCGCGTATACTATCGTGGAATTTTTACCCGTGTATCCTACATAATAAACACTTATATAAACAATACAATTTTTTTTTAATTTTTTTTTTTACGTATTACATGTATATCCCATTTGGCAATCATTTTATTTTTCCAATTTGACCCTCACTCTAGAGACCAAACATCCGTGGTAAATTGACCCTCACTCTAAAGACCAAAAATCCAAGGTCACCACGTTTGTTGATGATTTCGAAATTCAATTTATGTACTCATTTTTTTTCTAAAAATAACCAAAGTCACTTTGAATTTTGAAAATCTAAAGTCACTATTGAATTTAGATTTTAAATATCCGAAATGACTCTGCAATTTCTATCTCTATGCAACTGTGGATACTAAAAATTCCAAAGTTAAGAGTGATTTTGGATTTTCAATATCCAAAAGTCAAATTTTCCCTGAAATTAACTTCAAAGAAAAACATAATGCAAATATAGATATTGAAAATCCGAAGTCACAACATCTGAAATGATCGTAAAATTGAAAGAAAAAATAAAAAACATAAACAATATGCATGTAATATGTAAAAATTATAAAAAGTTGAATAATTGTGATATTACTTTTGACTTTAGATTTTCAATATCCGTGAGACCATTTTTGCCTAAAAGTAACTTAAAAAGAAAAAAAAATGTGAATGTAGATTTTGAAAATATGAAGTCGACGGTAAAATTAAAATAAAAAATAACAAACATACACAATATGCATGTAATATATGAAAAGAGAAATGATACTATGATACCCTCCCATATCAATGTGAGTAGGACTCTAAAATTTCGTACATATCCTTAAAAAAATTATCATATGGATATGAAACTTGACTCTTTTAAAAATCAGTGCTAAATTTGATGGTATTCATTTTGGGTTTTACGCACATGGGTGGGAAAGGTCTCATAACATCATTACTCGGGAGAGGTCTCATAGCATCATTACTCGTATAAAAATTATGAAAATTGTGTAATTATGAAATTACTATGTATTATACATAGGTAAATTTCGATTGATATTTCTTGGGAATTTCTTTTGAAATATTTTCGTCAGTTTCATGATTGGGCGCGGGAAAACCCTTCTCACTCTCTCCATCTGTCCCAGATTAGGGCAATCTCTCTCTCTCTCTCTTCTTTTTTGAATAATCCTTAACGATCTCCTTCTCTCTCTAACTATTTTATTGAATAAGCATTAGCACGAGTAGCCATTCTTGTTTTCTTTTTTGTTGGATTAACGAACCCTAACTCGAACAAATATTGGTATGAAACGTTGAATTCAGTGGCAAATTGAGTGTCTGAGAATCATTTCTAGGGTTTTTGAACGCCTTTATGGGCCAGAAATTTTGATGGGGCTGATAAAAGATGGAACAATCTCTGGTAGTTTGCCAGAATCAAGAGTGTTTGCAGTCAATTATCCTGGTTATCCTTCTACTTCACGAGCGATTGAGACATTGGGTGGCTTAGAAGGAATCTCAAAGGCAAGTCTGATCGAATTTTTTTTTTTTTAACCATAGGATTTTGTTTTTTTTTGTTTTTGTCAATGCAAATAAATTTCTTTCATTTATTAGTATTTTTGTCAATGCAAATAAATTTCTTTCATTTATTAGTATTTTTGTCAATGCAAATAAATTTCTTTCATTTTTAACCATAGGATTTTATTGTTGATGATTCAGCTCTGTTACTAGAATTTTCTATTGATGTTCTTCCTTTTTTCCATGGTTTCATTCTACTATTTAAGCCTACAGCTGAAAGAAATTTAACCGTAATCTGGACTACTGGTTCCAAAAGTTCAATAAAACAAAGTGAGAACTTCCAAATTTTTAGGTTTTATAGAAAAATTCACTTCCTGTATAATTTGGTTCTCAATGCTTGGAGTTTGGCTCTTATTCCTTGCTTTTGAGATGGGAAATAGATTTAAGGAATTTTTACATTGTAGATACTAACTATTTGCATTGCTAGTTGGAAAGGATGCAAAACAATGAAAATTTGTGGGTGACTGATAAAAACCATATTGATTTTATGTGTTTAATAGAATGGAATCAATTTATTGAGCATTCAAGTGAAAAAAATAAAAATAAAATAGCAGATTAGCATTACATGGAGCAAATCCATATACATATGTATTGATTTTATATGTCAAAGAAGAAAAAAAATCAGAATACAAGGAAAAAGAGCATATGTTCAGTGTAGACTGGAGTTTTGGAGTTGGGGACAGGTTTCTGTGCCCCTTACTCTTTCGTAAACCTAATCAGATTGGACTGAGTTTCCATTTGACAGAGCAAGATCAAAGCTCTTGATTTGGTCAGGTTATTTTAAGATCATATTTGAGGAAAAAATTAGAAGCATGTCTCATCTTTAGTGTCATATATGTTATTTAGCCCTGTGTAACTCACAATATGTTATTTGATTTTTTAAAAATTATAGCCTATGATGCGATGGTTGGTATAAAATGAAAAACTCACAATGGGATATTTGATAGGAAAATGTAACTCCTAATTGGTTATTTGACAAATGGAAGAATAACTCATAATGGGTTATGCATATTTCTCTTTCAGGCACGCTGCTTGAAGATTGAAAATTATTTGGAACTTCGTTTTCGCCCAGAAGACCCATACTCACACCCTGCATATGGGGCCTGCCACTCGTCCAGTAATTTTCTGCTCAAAATTACCAGGAGAAAAAACAATGTTTCAGAGCTTGTATCTTCTTCCACTGTTGAAGATGGTACAAATTCTAGAAATGAGTACCAGGGTGTTGAGAAAAAGGAGAGTGGTCAACCTCTTGAACAAGCATCTCAGCTTTCTGCTGATATCATTGCTAGAGTGTTTGATACTTATGAATTTGATGGTGAGATATGGAATGGTGTGCCTTTATTCTAATTTCAGAGAAAATATGAAAGTGCATGGAATGTAGCAAATGGATCTAGAAACAAGGAATATCATGACAGTGCCTGGGTCCATTTTTCCTTGTCAATGACTGTTTTCGGTGCCAAAAACATCAGACCAGTGAGAGTAGAATAGTAGAATGCATCCAATCATCCAGGATAAAAGTACTATTTTGGAAAAGAATTCACCAGTCTAAGCACTGTTTTCAAATTCAAAGTTTCTGGACCACCTGCACAATTTGTGTAGGTTTTGATATTTCCTGTAATTTTATGCCTTCCGTGTTCTTTCTGTTCTTTGGATGGTTGGGTTGTGCAAGTAAGAGTAGCACAGCATTAAACAAGATTGTGTCACTGTGATTCTTACTTGTAATTTATTGGTCTTTTGTTTGCATATCTTTTTTTTTCCTTTTTTCTTTTTTTTATCTCTTACATTACGTACTTCTATGAAGGTATGGTTGATTACCAATATGTTCTACCTGTTCATGCGGAGGCAGCTAGGAGAAAGAACATACATCGTGTGCAAGAGAATGGTATTGCCACGCACTTGCTAATGGATTTCTACATGGGCAGCAGAGCATTTTGTGTTGACTCTTTCCTTGTTTTTTTTTAACCCTGCAAAATTAATTTGTGATGGTGTTACAATGTGATTTTGATTCTAATTAGGAATCATTTCCTTTTATTTAAATGACTGAGTCTGCTGGTTGTCTCACAGAAAGGGTTGGTCGTATGAACATAGACAACGATGACTTGATGATACTGATACCCCCGTTTTTTTCACGAAAGGACACTCCTGAAGGGCTAGTGTGAGTTTGATTATTCAGCTGGAGCTTTGGTATTATGGAAGGGGGTGTCTGTGGTTCATTTATTTTTTCCTTTTTCTGGTCAAGCCTATAAATCTCACATAAATATCTCTATCTTGAAAGTTGATTCTTTATGAAGTTCAGTCTGCTTGTTTTCTTCTTTCATCCGCATTAATAATTTTGAACTCCCTCTTTATAACTTGTCGGGATATTGCTTAAGTAGGTTCGGTAGAATGTGCAACATTTGATGAAAGAATTGATATGGCCTGTGTTTTCAAAGATATCAGTTCCTTTGATTAACTGTTATCTTCCGGGGTCTGGGGGTGGAATTATTTTGAAGTTCCCACTAATTCAACAGTCCCATGAGCAGTTAAATTCAACACATACTCATTTTACTGGTTATTTGTCCTTTATGCTTTAGGTTAAAGAGTTTACCTGCTGGGCATTCAAAACGGAAACAGCTGGAAGCCATGCAACAACAGTGGGAGGTAGTTTTCCTCTTATGTTGTGTGCATCCAAGTCATTCATGCTTATTTGTTTATGTTATTCAAATTTGTTGGAGTTTGTTCGAATCCATTTTGGTATTTTTATTTATTTTTCTGTAATTATTATTATTATTATTATTATTATTATTTTTTATGATATTCTCACACTCGTCATTGACAAGTAGCAACATTATTAATTTGTAACGCAATAGTCGAATATAAATCTGCTATTGATGTGACCATTACTATACTTGAAAAGTATGGGTTGTGTATTTAAATGTGGGTTTGAAGATCGGAATCTGACTCGATAATCCAACAGATGAGTACTAATCGGTGATGCACTGGAAGTTGGTCTGTGCTTGTAGAGACGATTTTGAAGAATATTAGGACTCCATACTCTTATAAAACCAGAGAGCACCTAACGACGAAAGAATCAAGAGAAATTCTAATATTGTTTGATGGGTCTAGGTCTCTAGGACTTGACTCAGGGCTATTTATAAGTGGCCCGTTCATTTATACTCTCCCTCATTTTGGCAGGGAGATAACTCCAATTGATGCAAAAATTTCTAGACAAAATGATAGCAAAAGCAAAAGAGCACACAAATATCCAATGAGGTCTAGATTCTTGTTTGTCTCTCATAATAGTGGCACGGGGTATGTGCACCTTCCCTTGAACTGTAATTCATTTGAAGGTTTGGGGGAAGCTTGAATTCTCTTGCTCTTGTGTGGGCTTTGGCTTTAGCGATCCCTGGTATCCTCTTAATCCCAGTTCTTTGGTTTCACCTTCCTGAGGTGGATATTTTCTCACCTAAAGGAAGGATCAAGGCTACAATCTCTCAAAAAATGGGTTTGCTCTATGCAATTCTATGATTTCTATCACTATAAGGCTGCCTATGCCCTCTATGTTGGGCCTTAAGGGTGCCAGATTAAACTCACTCACTCAAGCTCCAAAGGGCTTATTCAAATGTCTAACTCAAGTCTCTAACCCCTTCAAATGCCCAAATGATGGGTTATTCATATACAAAGAAGAAAAATTAAGGTTTCATCCCTTTCTTGAATTTAGGGGCAATGTAGTAATGGGTTTGAAGTGGAAATATCACCCATTTTCCCTTGTAACCTATGTCCCAAATTTTACCATCAATTTCCTCTTTCATCTCGGTCCAGACTCTATTTTGTGCCAAAATTGCTCCATCTATTGATAGATGGTTGAATTAAGAATCATTTGGCACAAATTTGATCCCAAAACTCTTCATATGAACAGAGTAATGGATCAAACATCTCCAATGGGTCACACTATAGCAGACCCTGTTTTATCTTACATTGGGCTTCAATCTGTGCCCAAATCCTGGAGCCAATGCTGCGAAAGGTTGTATGAGTTTGTGAGGGATTAAGTGAATATTGGCCAACTTTTCAGCTCAAAATACCTCATGGCTTGGGAGAAATTGATAAAATAAGGCATAGACTTGGTGTGGCCTTCTACAGGTCAATGCCCCTTCGTGATATTTCTTTTTGCCTTAAATTTGGGATTTAATCTTGAGTTAAACCCCCTTAATATTTAAATGAGCTTGTAGGGGAGTGAGTGAGGAACATTCACTCCTAATTTAATTGAATTAACCATGGGGTTTGGGAGAAATCATATGAATAAGGCCTAGAGGTCATTGCAACCTGAGTGCTGGTCTAGGCCATTGCAACCTGAGTGCTGTTCTAGCCTGGATATCCGACCATTGGTATGAATGGTGACCTAATTGCCGGAGTAGGGATCTTTTGGCCTTCGAAAAATGGTAGAAGGATCTCTAATTGACCTGAAATTTGGGAGGTTCTAGTCTAGCATCCCATCAAGTTTCACATCAATTCCAGATTGTTTGCCATGGGTTGCTTTGTTAATCAAACCCTTGTGCATCGATTGTGGGAATAGTGACTATCGCTGTGAATCGCTCTAGGGCCCGTAAATTGGGGTTGGACAATGTCAGAATGCTCTAAAATTTGGAGCATGGGCCTAGGCACCCTGGATTAAACTTCCACTCATTTTCTTCTGGTTTTGATTCCTCTGTATTGGGGTTTTTGACTAGATCTACCCCTATGGAGATCGACAGTTAAGTGTCACCTGATGACACACATATCTTGATTTTGGTAGAGGGTTCCCTCTTGGCATATCTTGATTAAACTTGAAATTTCTACTCTTTCCAGGGCCATTTCAAGGCTTTATGGGGGATGCGGCAGTTCGGCTTGTATTAAGATAACGTCTACCTGTTTGGTTGGTGATCTGTTTAGGAGGATGGTGGATCACCTATACTGGTTCTTTCATGTAGTCCTGGCCTTTTAAGGACTTCGGTAATGCATGAGGATTCGAATTCTATCCTTGAGTTTTGTGCCTTCGTTGTTGGGAAGATGAAGCCGCTTCTACTTCACAGGTTATCTGGACTAGGTTGATGCCCGTCTAGGATGTTTTGATTCAAATTACACCAAAACAACCAGATTAGACTCTTCCCCATGAACGGGGAACCTCTTATTTATATGGATTATTGAATAGCTTTTTATTTTTATTTTATATATTTGTGCAATTGCAGTCAAGTCATTTGGGAAGAGGTTGTCTACCCAAATTTCATTTAGTAAGAGCTATAAGCATGTTTCTTTGGAGTATGCAGTGTTTTAAAAATCGGCGAGTCGAACTGGACTCGCCCGGTTCGACTTGGGAACCGGCACAGCCCGTGCCGGTTCCTATACAAAATCGGGAACCGCCCGGTTCTAGAGAAGAACCGCCGCGGTTCCAATCCGGTTCTGTCCAGTTCTACCCGGTTCAGCCCGGTTCGCTCCTTGCACTAGTGCGACACGCACGTGCACGCGTGCGACACGTATGAGGTTACCCTAATATTTCTACACAAACATTTTAATCTATATTACATAGGTATTTATATACCCGTCTTTCGATGTGGGATAATTCCCAAATGAAAAGGGAATTTAAATATATTCTATTAATCATCAAGTTATAACCACATATGGTGAGGTGGCGTGGTGGTTAAGACCTTTGCTTCTTTATGTGATGTCTCAAGGTCGAATCCCCCCGTGGGCGTTATTTTTTTGTGTTGTATAGTTTTTGTTGTATATATTGTATAAATATTGTTGTAAATAATATAAAAAGCATAAAAAAATGAAAAATAAAAAAGTTAAATTTTTGTATAGCAGTTAATTTTTGTTGTATATAGTGGTATAATTATTTTTTTCAATAATATGAAAGACATAAAAAATCAAACATAAAAAGTTTATTCTATTTGAAATCTCCATCTTTCTACTAACAATCTCTTTCACTAAATTTATTATAAAAACCTAAAAAAATAAATTTTTGAAAAATTGAAGTGTTAATTCCAAAATTTGTACGCATTTTATTAATTTTTACATTGATAACCAAATATTTTATTTTATTTATTAATTTTTACATTATAAATCATGCAATGTACTATTTTTCTTACAGTTGTCAATAATACATTTTAAATTAGATAATATTATAAAATATTTTTAATTTGTTATTATTTGTCTAATAAAATAATTATAAAATGTAAACTAATAATTATAATTTCAGTATATAATATTATAATTAGTTAGGTTTTAATAATTTTGGACTATAGTTAGTTAAGCTGTAATAATTTGGATTTTTTTAGCAAATTAGGGTTTTTCGCCAAAACGAGATTTTAAGCCATTCTTTCATTGATTAGTCTACTCTTTGTAATAGTCCATGTATAATTATATATTTTATCTATGATAATTTTATGATTTTTCTTTTATGTGATGCAAATTTAATGGTTAACATAAGTTTATACAGGGAAAGAGCATCTCAATATTCACAAATTGATAAAAAAAAATGAAAGTTAATAATGTAGTACCTTCATTTCTTATTGGATTCCTAAAAAACAATATTTATAATGAATTTTAATAATTTTTTCGGATTTTTTTGAAGCTTTAATTCGACCGATTCAGCCGATTCCTGATCCGGATGGCCGATTCGCAGATCCGGATCGGTTTTTGAGATGCCCGATCCGGGTCACCAATCCGCTTTTTAAACCATTGGGGGTATGTGAATAACAATTCATTGAACAAAATGGACAAAAGACTAAAATCAGTCCAATGGCCTGGACCTCCGATTGTGATGCATAATTTTTTGGAGGCTTTTAATTTGAATTGTTTACTCGGTTATGTCTTTATTTGATGAGGAGATGGTATCGATGCACTCTGAGATTGTTTTATTTATCTCAATATGTTTTCGACTGATTCATCCTTTCCTTTTCTCATGTATTGCAGATGAATATTGGCCCCCCTTTTGGTCTCCGATTCGACATAGATGATATCCTTTTACTTGAATTATAGTTCTCAATACTTTTTCTGATATATTTTGCTTGGTTGCTTCTCCAGGCAAACAGAACAATAAGAATGCATATGGATAATCATCATATCTGTTAGCGCAAGCATGCATATATTAGTTTGTGCATTGGAAGATTACACAAAAAAGAAGCTTTATATATTGTTTCAGATATTATCCAGTTTGCTTGTGATACTTAATATTCACAAATGTCCCTAACAAGATGAACTGGGAGGATAACATCCCCCAAAACTCACCTGACTGGACGCCCCAAAAGGCCGTCTCTAAACTATTTGATGAACGGCCCATCTGGTCTAAATATATTCTAAATGAACGCTTGGTTGAAGATGGTGTCCAAGTTAACAAAGATATGTTGCAAAGGTTTCTTGCTGGCCTTTTGCTTTCATTTTTTTTTGGTTCTCATTCCTTTTCTGAGTGACTAATTACAACCAGGGTTTTATGAACATTCATAATGCAACAGAATTGAGTTGAACTGTTTCCTTTTTATAATGGCAACGATATAGACGAAAAAATTGTGTTTTCCAGGTATAATGGAAAAATGCGGTGTAGTGAAAAAATGGAACACAAGGGGAAAATAAAGCAAAATACTGAAGATAATGAACAAAATGGAGAAGGAAACTACTTACTTTTTTGCTAAAATGGTTGTTCCCTTCCTTCAAAGAGGTCATTATTTTCATTTCTCATCCTTATTTCATTATTAAAATTTGAGACCTGTACACTATGCTTATATAGTTGGGAAATGGCTCTGATGATGATAATGATGACATGATGTTTATATAAAATGCATAGGCTGGGCATCAGCCATCTTTTCTCATGATGGACAGGGGAAACGGAATTTTACTACATAAAGGCAGACTTACAGTTCCTGTTCGGGCTCTATCTTGAGAATGGGCAAGGGATGCGTTCATTGTGAATATCAATGTGTTAGGACTCGCCATTGGCCGAGGCCAGTTTCAATCGAGTCCTTAGGACTCCGTCGAGTCTGCACAAGGCCAAAAGCCCCTAAAATTATAAGAAAAAGGGAAAAAATGTTAAAAAATAGAAAAATGTAGTAAAAGTAAAATGAAACCTAAAATCACTTTTAAAAGTTAAAACAAGCTTAAAAAAGTAGAGAAAAAATGGAATGGATTTAAAATGAACCAATTTGCAGTTTGGGAAATTTTGAGAAAATCCAAAAAAAGGTAAATATAAAAATACTGATCACAGTAAAAAAAACATTCACCAATATTTTCAGAATATCATCTAGATCGTATATATAAAAGAAAAAGAAAGATTTTAAATTATTTATTTTTTACAATTTTTTAATTTTTGAATTTGTTTTTATATGCCCTAAGCCGTTCGCACAACTTGGTGGTACTCGGCCGAGTCCGAGTGGACTGGGTCGAGTCCTGTCACATTGTTGTATGTTGAACAGCATACACATTATGTTTGTGCTATACTTTTCCTTAAATCATGGTTCACTGTGAAGTTTTTCTTATATGCAATTAATATTCTGAATTTTTTCTTATTTGCAATTAATGTTCCATGGATTCCAATGATATTGCAGTTTCTATGCATGTACAAAGTTCAAAAATAGCATTGGTTATTTTATGGCCACTTTCTGATTTTCATACAGAATTCTCCTCCGAGGGGCGTATAAATTCGCCACAGGTCCATTTCGTGTATGCTGGATTAGGAATGGATATGATCCCCGCAGGGACGCCGAGTCTCGAATGTAAGAGTTTTCTCAAGTTCTTCTACCGTGTTGATTTTACTTATTTGGGTGGTTAATCTTCCTTATGATGCCATTCTTTAGTAGATGAGGTTTTTTTTTGCCTAGTCATTGTTGACTAGAGTTAGACAAATATTTCTTGAACGTATTTTACTCATTTTCTGGACCCTCCAATATAAGGGGGTTGCGGAGTCATAGTACATTGTATATGTTTTGCAATTGAATGTCTTGATTTTGACCATCTTGTTATTCAAATAAATCTTGTAGTTTTTATCCTAATGATGGTGTCGACATTGTTCGAAGTAAGCGATGCTACCTAATATAAATAGTATTGTTACATTGGTGATCCATTTGTCCTACAGCGACAGTCTCTAATATTTTACCTACTGATTCCTCAGGATACTTGTTGATATTAGATATAAACTGATGTTGCATTAATATATAGTGGGTGCGGTTTGTATGGAGCCTACCTTCAAATAGTGTCCAGAAACATGGTTTCAATACTGAAAATATTTGTGATAGCCTTAAAATATATTTTCATCTTTATTTATGAAGTTTAAAGCTTCAAAAATAGTGTAGATCGATAGATCTATGAAAACTTGAAAATCTTGAAAATTGACGGTCAAACAATGCGCTACAAAATACACTATTTTCAAAACTTGAAATCCACTTTTGTCTCATGTCCGTGCATCTTGATGTCGAGATGATCAATTTAAGGATA